TTTGCTCAGATCTCCTTTCTTTGGAATCTTGACGAGGTGTCCTTTCCAGTCCATCGGCACTTGTTCCTCTTCCCAAATCTTTTTGAATAGAAGATAAAGCATGCTTGTGGTTGTTTCGATGTCTGATTTCAGTGCTTCTGCTGGTATGTTGTCGGGTCCTGCTGCTTTCCTGTTCTTGATTTGTCTGACGGCCATTCTAATTTCTTCCGTAGTTGGTGGGTTGACATCTATAGGAAGATCTATGTGTGCTGCTTTGATGTCCGGTGGATTCATTGGAGCCGGCCTATTCAGGAGTTCCTCGAAGTATTCTACCCATCTGTTACGCTGTTGTTGAATTTCGGTGATTTTCCTGCCTTCTTTGTCTTTGACCGGCCTCTCTGGTTTACTGTATTTCCCTTCTAGTTTCTTCGTTGTATCGTGAAGCTGTTTCATATTTCCTTCTCTTGCAGCTTTTTCTGCCGTCGTTGCTAGTTCTTCCACGTACTTCTTCTTGTCGGCTCTAATGCTCCTCTTCACTTGTTTGTTTGCTTCTATGTATTCAGCTTGTGCTTGAACTTTCTCTGCTCGTGTTCGGCCGTTGTTAACTGCTGTCTTCTTGTTCTTCCTTTCTTTGATCTTGTCCACTGTTTCTGTAGAGATCCATTCCTTATGATGGTATTTCTTTAGACCGAGAACCTCTTGACACGTTGAATTTAATGCTTCCTTGATGCCTTTCCAGTTGTACTCCATAGTAGTTTCTTCTTTCAGTAGATCTCGTAAGGCTTGGAACCTGTTGTTGAGAGCTATCTTGAATTCATTGAGTTTGTCAGTATCTCGAAGAAAGGCTGTATTGAACCTTTGTATTGCTGTTTGTCCACTTGTCCAGTTCTTTTTTAGCTTCAGTTTCAAATTGGCTACAACTAGGTGGTGATCTGAAGCTATATCAGCACCTCTCCTGGTTCTCACATCTTCCATTGTTCTTCGGAATTTTTTGTTGATGCAAATATGATCTATTTGGTTCTCTGTAGTGTGGTTCGGTGAGATCCATGTAGCCTTGTGTATACGCTTGTGTGGAAATATTGTGCAGCCTATGACCAATTTGTTGAATGCACATAGATTTGCAAATCTTTCTCCATTTTCGTTTCTCTAACCCAGTCCATGTCGTCCCATGATATCTTTGTATCCAGTGTTGTCTATTCCGACTTTGGCATTTAGATCTCCCATCAGAATGGTGAGGTCCTTTCTTGGGCATTTCTCAATGATTGACTGCAGCCGCTCGTAGAATTGATCTTTAATGTTGTCGTTGCTATCATTGGTGGGTGCATAACATTGGATAATATTCATTTTGATACCCTCCTTCTTTGTTTTGAATGATGCTTTGATGATTCTGGATCCGTGAGATTCCCATCCTACAAGTTCATTTCGCGCTACTTTGGACAGCATAAGAGCGACTTCCTGAGTGTGTGGAGCATTGTCCTCTTCGTGACCGGAGTATAGCAGCATCTCTCCCGTAGCTAGCTTTTTCTGTCCAGTTTGGGTCCAGTGGTTTTCGCTGATTCCCAGTACTGCTAAGTTGTATCTCCTCATTTCCATTGATATTTGACTGGTCTTCCCACATTGTTCGAACGTCCCGTGTACCTATGAAAATTCTTGCTCTGGTTGTTAGAAGAGGCATCGGCCTCGTGGCTTCCGAAGGAACTCGGCTTTCACCATGAAGCGTCATAATTCTTCTAAATGAAGACCTTCTAACTCCCAGGGCAGAGTTAAAATGGTTTGGATTATTTTTTCTGGTAAGCGTTTTTTTAGCGAGTTAGTTTTCTACGGGATGGGGACGCTAACCCCATGCCCAACCCTCCTCCTTTACGCGGGCTTGGGACCGGCAGCAACCCTATAAGAGCTACAGGCGGAGTTACACAGAAAACTAGTTGGACATAATCAATATGAGAAGTAATATAACCATGTGACCTAAGTATAAAGAAGTTGCGTGTAATCACTAAACTACAGTGAAATGAATTATGTACATTAAGTATTATTTTTATGCAAATAGACAATTCAGTTAGATATTTCCAAGAAGTTATGCCCATATTAGACTGTGTCAATTATATTTGCCATTAAATGGTGTTGATAGTAGTACCAACAAGTTTTTAAAATGAAGGGGCTTTATTCTACTGTCGAAATCATTCAATTTTAACAAATTTATTCTATGAAGATTTCCAATGAAATGTTAGTATTATCAAAATGAACCGTTATTTAGGAGTCTTTAAATCATATATATTGAGAACTCCAATTCGATGGGACAACATATACAGTGAAAGTCACAGTGAAACTGCGAGGCACTAAATCTATTACTCGTATTGTCTAGCCTGTAATCCAGTTCTCTATATTTGTTCGTGAGTTGTGTATCTGATGTAACGTTTGTGTATAGCTTACTGAGTGAGTAACCAACACATGTAGTAGTATAAATCTCGGTCTCCGTCGTATTATCCTATCATAGTAGTATACAGTAGCAGTAGTAGTTGTATCACATACAAAAGTGATTGCTTAGAATAGGTCTTTAGTAGAAAAGGTAACTGAAATATTTGCGCATTTGAAGAAAAAATAAGTTACTCAGAATTTTGATCAGGCCACCACATAACCAGAGAGATGTGAGCAGTTAGCAGTAAACACTCCTTATTTTATTCTTCAGTGTATACGGCGCTAACAGACCAAATAAATAGCTTTGAATAGTCAATTATTATATGTAGTAAACTATATGGGACATAATATATGATTAGTAAATGGTGAGTTTAACTGTTTTTCAGTGGTAACATGTCAACTATACGATTGATACATCCTGGTAAAAATGAATTTATTAACGTATAATATTCGAGTTCAAATAAAACGGTTGTTCAATTGACTTATGATGGTTTAACTATCATAGCATCAACATTTAAAGCCATAGGTACTAGGTTAAAGTCTTAGTGTGATTATCAACACTGAGGTACAGTTAATTTCAGATAAATAGTCCTAAACTTAATGAAACTTGTGTCTTGGATCCTATGGTTAATTAAAAACCAAATTCAACACAAGATATGACCGAATTTCTAAACATCTATTTTTTCATTAAATTCGAAATTTCAACTCGGGGTAATCCAGTCGCTAAATTATTACTTTAGTATATGAAACCTCTTAGAATGAACTTCGCCGTCAAATATAAAAATGAACGACATTATTTTTTAGTCGTTAGAATACTGATCGGGTGAGTAACTCAATCTATAGATGAATATAACCTGGGTGAATTATGATAAGTTAATAACTGAAATTCTACTTAATAAGGATGTCTTGGTATCGAATTTGTTTTAAAATATATAATCACTTGACTACAAACTCATGTTGAATCATAGCATAATATTACGTTCTAGTATCTATTTTATTGTATTGCAAGTTCGCATCCTTACAATCAGAATCGACTCACCGTCCGAGTTTAATATTCGCATTAAATTATTCATATATTTTTCTAATTAAACGGTACTTTGCAAATGGAACACGGTTTATCTCCAGATTTTTTGAAGGTTCAAATAGATAACCTAACCATTTTTTTCTGCTTCGTAATGAAATGAGTTTGGATAAACAACGATAAGGTAGTTGGACATTTTAGGCTTATGTGTTTCATGTATTATGGAACTAAAAGATTTGTGGGCTAGGAACATACTTACAAAGACATAACACTCATTTCCCAGATTTTTTACTTCGATAGTACCAAAACTACATTGAGATTAAGTAGGTATCTAATTATCTTGGATTAATTGAATGAAATCATTGTCTTTCCAGTTTGATGAAAACAGGCGATTACTTTATCAATCATACTAAATTTCATTATTTTTATTTGCATTCTAGCTACTTATTATTACGTAAGTAGCAAAACTAAAATTAGGAATAGTGTCACTTTAAATAGTTCAGCTTTCACAAGAATTAAATTTATTTACTGTCTTTTAAAAGGGATTTGAAAGCATATTCATTTGAATATGACTACATATGCATTCGTAGATTCAAAGTGCAGCATATCAGATTACATAAGTTTTATTCGTCAATAGAAAATATAAACAAATGTAATCGAAATATGGCAAAACAGAAAAAGTCAATTGGGAGCACATATAATGCACTCTATGTTAACCATTTTATGCCCAGAAACCACCTCTCTTATAACCCTTACAGGTTTAAAAATGAATGTTATAACTAATTATCATAAGCGATACTAGAGTTGCCAATGAGATTATCAATACCCGGTGCTTTTCGCAGTCGAGGCACAAAGTTGAACTAGTCATCTAGTGAATCTTCGATTAGACTGATGACTAAACGAAACTAATATGAAAAAATAGATTAGCACAGGTCTGCTGTTTTTTGGAAAGTATAGGTCAGCTATATTCTGTAAGTTATCAACACAGAATTTCATTTGTTCAGTATTGAATACAGCTATGGTTACACGCACAAGATTAATTATTTCAGACTAACAAGTTCAGGGTTTGCTTCCTGCCCACAGAACTGATAAACAGCCAAAGTAAATTTCGAGTCACTATTACAGTATGTTTAGTATTTTTCACCCGGGTAGGTGCTTACGATGGTTTTGTATTCTATTTGAGTTAGGATTTGTCCGGAACAATAATGGAAACTTCGCATTTAAGCCACTGACAAATTTTTTCATTCATTTTCATTAGATCAGAAGATGGAACATATTGGTTGATAGCATTGTATTCCCATGGAGAAAAGAGAAGATATCAGTGTATATTTTAAAGAATTTCATAGCCTTTCTTAATGTGTGTTCAGTTGATCTCAGCTCGTATTGATTAATGTATGTATTTCCGTGTAGGCAGTTTAAATTCTTACGAGAGATTTATCAAAAACAGTTATAAGTTCTGATAGAACGCTTGATTTAAAATATTTTTCTCATTCTAAGGTATATTAAGATAATATGTTAACACGATAATGAGACTATTCACATCATGTCAGATCCAGGATTCCCAACCCAGAATAGAGAACCGAAATAACACTAGATAATACTTTATTCAATACAACTACCAACAGTCACACTCAATAAGTCAATAACAAGAAAGGAAATCACACATAATTTGACTGTTTGTCTACACTCATTGATCACCCTCAATATTACACATCAGGTTCCTGTCCAAAATTCAGCATACTATGATAATAACCATTGGTCAGTGAATATATATTATAAAGAAAATCATCAATATCACTACTTTATTTTCCGTGGACGAAGAATAATATAACTTGAAGATTGACGACTTTTAATTATCTGTTTATTGTATAGAAATTCTTCATTTGATTGAATATCAACATGCTTTGACACATACGGATTGTTGTTGTTATTATTATTGGCAGCAGCTATTTTATCTTGTTCTTTATGAGAATATTTATATAACAGTATATTACTATTATTTACTTGTTTCTGATTCATTCTAGGCGAAATATCATATTTTTGATGATTTAGTTTATTCAACTTTTCATTTGATGATAAAGTTTCTATTTGTTTATTCTCCATAGATAAATCAACAGAATAATCATTAATCTTATTCTGATTTGGATTGATAAACTTATTTATATCAAATTGACTTTTATCATTATCAATGTTATTATTATTATTATTATTATTATTATTATCATTAACATTAGATAAAGGTAAAACATGATCATATTTTTTATGTTCTGTAGTAATTTCAGTAAATTCTTTTATATGTTTCATTGTTTCACTTTCAATAGTTTTAAATTTGTCAATTCCAGGAATAATTAAATAATTCATTTTAGAATATGATCTTTGATAAGATGGAAGATAATGATTTAATGAATAATCATAATTACTTAATTTTTGATTCAAATAATTGGAATAATAATAATCATAATAATAATAAGGTTTTTGATAATTGATATAATAATAATATGGTAGAAGCTTTTTAGATGTTGTAGTGTAAACTTTTCCTTGTACTGAATAATAAATCTTAATTAGATAGTAGAAAATCAATAAGCTTATAGAATACATAATGTCCATTTAAACAAAATATAGTACAGTAATATAAATGAGCATATTTTATTGAATAAATACTTGATTTCTTTCTTTTTATATAGTTATAATGATTATTATTTGATTTTGATGGATCAAAAATCAAAATCGTTAAATTGTTGTCATGCACTTAATAAATATAAAGTTTGAAATTTTTTTTCTTTTTTTCATTGACAAACACTTTTTTCTCTCCCTCTCTCCGAAATTCATTGAAATCGACAAATATCATGAAATTTATTGAGTTTTTAATGTTTTGTCAGCTGAATAATTAATAAGATTGATAGTGGTTAGCAGTGGAATCCAGGAGGCGCGTTTCGTCCTATTTGGGACTCATCAGCTGGATGTTACTTTAATTATAAGCTTCCTGCAGAAATATTTTATCTCAGTTAGGTTCTTTCCATGGATAAAATGTTAACATCAACTGTATGATTATGAGTTAATTGACAATGTGTATGAACTTTGGGGGTTCTTATCAAAATAATAATGACTGAATAAAAATGTAACTCAAGAATTTAGATGAATATGCCAGTTATAAAGTTCAAAGTTCTATCAAATAAACCGAAGCAAATTATCAGTTGACTATCGAATAATTGACCGAAGGTGGGCAGATTAATTATCTAGAACAGAATTGTGATTATTGGAACAAGTTGTGCAACATAAAATAATGAATGTTATAAGGAATGAAAGCACTAGTCAACCGGTCAATTAACAACACTGATCATGAAAGTATGAGAGGAAGAATAAGAAAAAATGTTAAAAATAAAAATACCTTTTTGGAATGGGTCATTCGACTGATTAAATAAACAGGGTAAAGAAAGTAATCGTGTCAACATCATACGGATATATGGGCAAAGTTTGTCTATATAAATGGATTTGGCTTATATAATATATAGAATTCAAAATACCGATGGACTGGGACAGGTTAGATGGATTTCAATGGGTACATCTTACGGCTAACATTACATCAACATTATGTCCAATATGTTGTGACTGGCGGTGTCCGAAATCTGATACTGATACACGGTGTTATAAGTGCTAACACCCCAACTTACTATTCGAGCGAGAACATAAGAGTAAACGAGAAAGTTTATTGGGCTACCGAATGAAATGTACAAATACTCATTATATATATATACCACTCTATCCTTAGGAAATTGCCCCCAATGAAATGCGCTTAACCTTTAGGTTAATTCTGGTTGCCATCGACTGACCTTTGGTTATTCCTGATTGACTCTCCATAGAACAATGTTACTTGGTGCTTCAGAATGAAGCTCCTTATCTATTCATTACTGTAGCATGAAGTGTAACGTCTAAACGTGGGAAATTTCTTGTTTGAATTAGATTTTATGCTCATCAGCTGTCATCAACAATGGATCTCTTCAACTATAGAAAATCTGGTTCTAAATTTGTAACAGTATGAACACTAACCATCATCGTGCCTGCACTTCGATACTGAGGGAGCTCTATGAATCAACTTCGATAAGTCTTCATCAAGATATTCATTTGAATATCTCAGTGCATTGTATAAAATATCATCTGGTCAAAAGGCTATCTTCAAGAAGTCATGACTGATCAAGATAAACTCACACAGTTTGCCATTTAATAATCCACTGCCTTATCTAGTTTTACCGCAGGTCATCTGTCAAGCAATGTTTAGAGTTACTGGGTGCTAAGTCATTTAGACTTCAATATTTAGGTGTATTTCACTTAGCTGAAAGATGTAGATAATCTTATCAAGTCAATGGCGATGATTGTGAAGCTTGACTCTAAATATTCTTACCGATTACATTCAGTAAATTCATTCTAAATAGGTCTTCATGTAATATCGGTCAAAATATCTTGTTAGTAACATTTCTATTGGAATTCATCCTGCTTAACTGTAACAAGATGAAAAGCCTATGGCACTGAAAATATACTCGAGAAAAGTTGTAAAAACTATTTCATATCATTTCTTTAAACAAAGAAGATAGACATTCGAAAACTGTGATTACATTATGAAAGTTAGTATAATCTCTTAATAATGATGTTATCATTACACAGGATTGTTTTTGAATAATTTGATTGGTTGATATTAATGTTTTTTTGATTTTAGTTAAAACTCTTGAAGCAATTCTCAAACATCTCATTACTTCTGTCATTTCACTCTTTATTCACATGATAATTCAGTTTCTTTGTTTTACGAACTTCGTAAATATTTTTATATTGCTGTAAATTTTGCAGACGTCTCCTATTGCTCAATGAATCCGTTCTCCGATCATTATTATTATTATTAATATTAATATTATTCTTCTGGTGATTTTCTTTCTGATGATTATTTTGTACTTTATCGCTATAGTATTTATTCTCTATTTTATTAGATTTTATGTTTTCCCTAAACAATTTGTCCATATCAACATCATAATTCTTCAAATCAAACTTTGCATTGGAATTTCGATCAGTATCTTCAGCATATTTATTAAATAGCTCTCTTAAATCGGTGTTGCTGTAATCGCTTGCGACAAAAACATCATTATTTAAAACTTCTTTGTTATTGAAACTGTGTGGTCTATCAATTTCAGTATATTTCGTAATACTATTTTTAGGTATGTGTTTAAACACTTGACTAGTTCCACTTTGTTTTTGAATCGCTTTTTCATATTTCATAGTCTCTTCGTCTATGTAACCGGATTCTGCATAATCTTGATATTTCTCCCCAACATCGGATTGGTCATTATTATTTTCATAATCATTGTTGCTGTTAAAATAATTAAGATCTGGTCTCCTGAAGGGGTCTTCATAATCTCCGTTATCTATTGAATGTTTTCCAGAAACATCATCATCTTTGTCAGTGTTGAATGTTGTTCTCTGTTTTAACTGAGTTACATATTCGGACTTTTTGTCAATCTGTGTCTTGAATTTCGGTGAAACAACTGTAACATAATCATGATTCTGCCCATTGTTTGATTTATGAGACCGTGAGGAACAGTAAGGAAACAGAGAGAAACCTAGTATCATCATCTGTAAAACATTTAAAACCCAATTCATTCTTGTTAATTTTATATCTTTCACTGATATATATATATATATATATACTGTGATTATAACTATCAAATCAAATTATTCTCTTATCAAATACTGAAATAGATCACAACCTCGTAAACATTTCTATACTATGCGATGAACTATTGATCGTTATTCAACTGTTCAATATTCTGAATAACATATCATGATGTTTGAAGCCTATACCAAATATGCTAATTAGATTTTTATTAAATTTCAATATTTTTTTTGTTTGAATGAGTTCTTCTATGCTTTTCAAACTGAAATATGCTGACAAACCAATTATATTTATTATTTTACATATAAGTCAATTTAATAACCAAAACTTTTAGTCGCTTTAATTCAACTCAATTCGGAGTAAGTCAATAAGACTCGGTTGAGCTGATGATATGATGAGTATATTTATTTGACTATCTAATAAGTTATATGACAGCCAAATAAAACAACTGATAATTTAATTGAATTTCAGAACTGGTTATCTGTTGAGTTAAAGCATTTGTCTAGAGATAACTATTTTGAATGATCATATGAATCAGATTTTTACGTAACTTACGTCGTCAACCGATAAATTTCTTCGTCTATGCAATGAAGATTACTAGGTTGATAAATCCATTTTAACTATCGTCAGTTAGAAAACGAAATGTAATTCTTCAAATATTTAGGTAGTCATACGTTAAGTTAAAGTGATTTTCTGTCGTATGTTGAATCCACAAGGCCATTACAAATTTATGACTGCTTTAATCGTTAAAATCCTGAAATAAAAGACAGCTCAAATAGATGAAACTATTGCGGAAAATGAGTAAAATGCATTGAATTTAAAAACCTTGAATTGTATGGTACTTAGAAAACAAGAACCAAATTGAAATTATAAGTAGATCTATCGAGTAACAAAATAAGAAAGGAATCACAGTATTTTTAAGTAAGAAAGCCCTTTTATCGTTACATCAAGAAGAGATATTAGAGGTTAACGAAAACGAACAAGGTGTTAAGTTTTTAAAATGGTAAATTCTCTCATAATAAACAAAAAAGATATTAAACAAAGTAAAATGGGTCAAACTTAATTGGAACTGTGCAAGGGACCTCAAAATTGGTCTGTAAATTATTAATAATAAGATTAAAAGTTTTACAAATGCGGTGCAGAAATGATTGTGTTTATTCAAACTACTTTTAATTAGTAAGTAGTATGATATCACCCATAAAATCCAGCACGATTGAATAAGCAAGAATAATTAGAAAATTACTCAAGTACAATTTCGCCAGTAACACTTTTAGGGTTACAGCCAACCCCCAGCTCAAATAAAGAGAGAGCAAAGGGTATAGGCTCGGCAACCTGATGCCGTAAGAATGACGCTGTCAAAAAACGTTAACCAGAAAAAATAACATAAATCATTGAAATTTTACCCTGGGAGTTGAAGGATTTTCAACTAGACAAATTAAGGACGCATCATAGAGGAATCCGAGATAATTCGGAAACATCAAGGCGAATGAATCTAATGGCGATAAAAAAACAATATAGGTACGTGACTTTGATGTCTACAGACAGTTGTTTTGAGTTCCACATATACTTCAGCTGTAGGAAATGCGGCCCTTACTTTCCCAATACTTACATTTACGTCTGCATCAGATCCTCCTTATTCATCGATGAAGTTACCGAGGTACGTGAGTTTCCACCTCTTCCACAGTTTCTCCATCAAATGTGATTG